AAAAGAGCGACCACTAAAATATCCTATACTTAATGACCGTTTATCGAAGGCAATCGAAGTGAGAGTATATCCTAGGAGTGCGCATGTGCGAGTGATTCAATTTCAAGTTTATTATCTTTGTACATTTAGGATTTGCTAACCGTTTTAAAGTTAATCATACATTCTTGTCATGCAACCCTAATATTCATACATCTAACAGTTAATATTTGCGGAATTTAAAGTGCGGAAAATAAGCTACGCTATTACGAGGCTTCGGGTATTAATTACATAGCCAAAAACAACCCGTAAAAAAACGATAAAATGAAAAGGAGAAAAGTCCTAATTAATCTATTGCAACTTGTGAGAAATTACATTAATATGGTAAAAATAATAAAGCGCGGTGAATCGAGAACAAGAGAGCAATAGGGTTTTGACCCCGTCTAACCTAATCCAAAGAAACAATTATTTTTGTTGTTTTTAATTATTTAAGAAAAAAGAATAAGGTTTTTAAATTAAATACAAAACTAATTAGTAATTAAATTAATTAAAGAAAATAATTTACATGGCCTATTTTTATATTTTGGTTAATTTTTAAGATAACGAAAATAGAATTAAGTTAGAAACAAAAACCCTAATTGTTCTAATTAATTTTAATTTATTTACAAGATAACTAAAGTTATCCTAAATTAAATAAACTAATTAAATTAATTTTTGTATAAAAATAACCTAAATCTAATTGGGTGAAAATATATTTTTTGTGATTTTATTAAAAAAGAATTAATTTTTTAGGTTAATAAAAATAAATAAATGAATTAAATAAAGAAATATAAAAAGAAAAGAGAAAGAGATATGGGCCTGAGAAAGTAGTTTGGGGGGTGTGAGTATCAATTTCTGGGCCCAAAACAAATGATCCACGTTGACCAGCTGGATCCCCTGCCATGCGTTGACTAGGTCACATGATAGGTCCTTCAATGGTGGCCTTCAGATCTGGCCTGTTGGACACCTGGCTGGTTGGATGATGATGGACCATGGTGGTCATCCCACACAAGCACGCGCTTGATTATGGAAAGGAAAATAATATGAAATAATTGGGGGGACCTGGGATTCGAACCCAGGTCCTGTAACCTTTTCCAATGGCCTGGCCACAAACTGAGTTGCGCGTGTTAGTTGTATATGGAATAATAATAAATGCTAATATATAATATATGCAAGTTAGTGGGAAAAAGCACCGGAATTCAAATGAACCAATACAACGGTGCCACACAAGTCATCCCTGACCTCGCTCCATTGGTAAAAGTCATAAACTTTTACCTACGGGCGTGTGTCTGTCACTATAACTTTGGCTTATTTCAAAACCTCCCATGGGCATGATAAACGAAGTCTAAGGCCATGGATTGATTCGTCTTGGCTTGCTGAGCACGATGGTACCCTTCTTGAGGGCCAATTTTACCTGTGTGAGAAGATCCCAAATCGAGACCAAGAACCCTAACAATGGAAAATCTTGATACAGTCCACAAAAACGAAATTAAATGGAATAGATAGCTTTCAAATGTGTTAATGCACAAGAATATACTATTAAAACATAATGAATGTGCAAGAATAACAAGATTCGGTTTTGGAAATATGGGCAAACCGTGGGAGTCGTGGGGATGAATTCTGGGAACTAGCACGCTTGTTCTTGATTGGTACAACTTGCTTGTGATCCCAAAAAGTGAATGAGATGGTCAGGGAGCCTTGTAAATGCCTGGAAGTGCAAAATCAGTTTACCACTTTTCTTTGTTTTTTTTCCAGTTTTTGTTCTCTCTTTTGCGCCTCTAAAACCTTGTGATTTTTGTCTGCAAATGTATACTATATACCAAGGACTGAACTAGGGTTGCAAACATGATCTCAATCTTTGCCAATTATTGATTTTGATCTTGATTGGATTCACTTGAAAATCCTTCCAAAAATAGGCTAAAACCAATCTTTTTATGCACACAAAGGCCTTTCACAAATTCAATCACTTGCCAACTGGATATAAGACCTGAAATATGCACAAGATCTTGGGGTTTCAATGTTTTGGATTTTTTATGATTTGTTTTGATTTAAAATGATTTAATTGCAATAAAAATCAAAGTAAATAATAAAAATAATATACAGACAAGTGGGAAGAGCTAGGGCTCGTGGACCATGCTACCAACTCAAAACAAGTGCAAAAGAGTAGGCCCATTTAACAAAAATTGCAATTTGAGGCATAATTGACTTTTGACAATTTTGCAAAAAGGGTCAACTTCACCAATGCATAACTTCCTCAATTTTGACTCTTTGAGGGTGTCCTTGGACTTTTTAGAAAGCTTGAGATGTCCTCTAAGCAAACCTTTTGGTCTAATCTCAATTTGGTATTCCATGTTCATGTATGAAGCTTTGACAAAAAATGTGTTTTTGTTGACTTTTCAAAATGACCTATAATGTCCAAATTCATAACTTCTTGTGAGTGCATATTTTAAACTTGGGAGATGAATATGGATTGTATATCATTGCATCCTATTCAAAATGAGCTTTGTATGGGTCATTTCTCATAAAGTATGAGAAAGTTATGCTTGGTTAAAGTTGAGTTGACTTTTCCTACAAAACCCTAATTTAGCAACTTTTGGTTCTTGATGAATTTTTAGAAATCCTTGATGAATCATGATCAACCCTTGATAAAATGATGGATAATACTTCAAAATGATAATGTTGATCAAAAATCTTGAAGTTTGACTGTATGTGGGCCACCGTTGACTTTTGCCCTAGCAGAGTCGATTTTTAGGCTTTTGAGCAATTGACTGAGCAAATTTCCTCTGCAAGGCTTGAAACTTGACATGGATGATCTTGAGAACATATTAGGACAATGGTGAGAATTTGGGTCCCTTGGACTCAAGTATCTTGATGCAACAAGAAACCCTAATTTGAGGTAGACTGCCTTAGGAGAGAGCTTGTCTGGTCAACCCTTGGACTTCCTTGAGCAACTTGAGGATCTTTCTTGAAATGTTTTGAGAAATATGAGAGGGAAAATTTTGGGGTACAACAACCCCCTTCAACTTTCAAAGTGCATTAATTATTTTTTCCAAACATACTCCTAATTATATTACATCTTTTTTTGCAATATGTAATAAATACACTTGTATAAATATTAATTATTTCTCTCTCCTAAGGATATACTTGTAAAATTGTACAAATAGTCAATAAATTTAATATTCTAACCAACTTTCTTAATTATCATAATTTAGTCTACAAGGTCTTATATTAAGGCCCGAAGGTAGTAGTTAGTATCGAAAACCCATCAAACTGGTCTCTCACTTGTTTTAAAACTAGGAATGAATGAAAGTTTGGAAACTAACCTGATGGATTCTAATTTTTCAAGAACTTCTTATTGTGTTTCTATAGTTCAGGGATCAAATAAAAGAGTGATTATTTAGGGACCTAATTGAAAATTTATTTAAGTCACTAGTCAGGTTATTGAGTTTTGGATCTCATAAACTTATACAGATAAGAAATTAAGGAATAGGTTGTCCCTCTATTCTGAATGTAAGTAAAGCATTGCATTGTTCCCTTGATCAATGACATGGTTCAAATTCTGTAACTTTTGAAGTGAGTTAAGCTATTCTTATATTCGTTTTGTTACACTCTGTTTTTTTAGTATGTATTAGACTCTACTTAATGCTAGATCAATGTTGTTTCGGCTTTAACATTGTGTGATAAAGAGTTTTCTACAACTATATTTAGATTTAGGGTTTTACCTAAAACATAAGTACAAAACAAAAATGTAGAATAATGTTAAGAAAAGTTCTAAATATTCTCTACCATCCAAGCAACCAAACTTGGCACTAAATACAAAGAGAGCCCTATTGGGTTGTACTAATGGGTCCAGCCCAATTGAAGAATTAAATCTAAATAACAAACACTTAATAATTTATTTTAACTAGTTTTGTAATCCTCCAGCAGATGGATTTAGTTCTAATTCGTGTAGGCCTTCCATCACTACTATCCGGCCCAACAACACCCTTGTCCTAAAGGTTGGGTTCAGAATGTTATTTTGGGTGAGAAAAAGGTGAAGCACAATTTAATGGCCTAGTGTGCGAAAAAGAAGCTTTTGGGAGGTGAAGAGAAACATCATGTGTGACAGGTGTATGTAGGAGCTTGTCTTTTCCTTCTAGTGCATTGGGGTTTATGGCCAGCTGTGAGTCTGCAGGGAATGGTTGTGATGAAGAGTTGGCAGACCTCATACCATCAAGCGGTGTAGAATGATACGTGTGAGATCCACTGAGATTCTTGGAGTCATACAAAAGGTGAGGTTTCTCATCAACATTGAGAGAAAACTTGGCACGTTGGAAGTGTAAGTCATTAAAGTCAGTCTCATCTCCTTCTCTTTCCAAAACTTTATTTTGTACTTCTTTTCCTTCCCTCCTCTTAAAGTTATTTTGTTTAGTTTTCTCTAAAACACTTCCTTCTAAACTCCTAAGTATCTCTTCTTCTTCTTGTTGTACTGGAGGTTTCTAATTTGATGGTTCTTCGTCATGGGTGTCAAACATGGCCGAAATATGGGTAAAAGGAGTAGTGTAGAAGGAACCATGGAAAACACGTAGTTGGGAAACATGAAAAATGGGATGAACCTTTGAAGACAGAGGTAGATCCAGGTGATAAGAAAACTTTACGATCCGACGAAGAATCTTGAAAGGTCCATAAAAACATTTTGAGAGTTTGTGAGAGACACGGTGCTGCATTGAAACTTGGCGAAGCAGTTGAAAGTGGAGCCACACTAGGTCACCCTTAGCAAAGGTAATATCACAATGTTTCTTGTTACTCTAATTTTCCATGATTTGTCTGCTGCTCTGCATATTGCGTTTCAAAGTATTAAGAAGTTAATTTCTTTGCTGTAGTGAGAGATCCACGACTTCCAAAGATGATGACCCAAGATTGTAATGAGGAAATGATGGTGGGATACGGCCATAAAGAGCCTCAAAAAGAGACATGTGAATAAAGCTATGGAGAGTTGTGTTGTGCTAATATTCTTCCAGATGTAAGTAATTAAACCATGTTTTGGGTTTGTTGCTTGTAAAACAATGAAGATACGTCTCTAAACAACGATTTACGACTTCTGACTGTCCATCTATTTCAGGGTGATATGTAGTGTTGTACTTTAGAGTGGTGCCTTGAGCATGAAATAACTTTTTCCAAAAGGTGCTGACAAACGGTGGATCACAATCAGAGATGATGGTTTTGGGGATTCCATGCAAACAACATATCTCGACGGAGAATCTCAAGGCCAGATCTTTAGCTGAAAACTTGGTGGGGAGTCCAATGAAGTGACAAAACTTTGTTAATATGTTGCAAATCACCCAGATCATGTTGTGACCAAAGGAAACATGTAAATATGTAATGAAATCCATAGATAGGTCTTCCCATACTTAATTAGGAACTGGTAGAGGTTGTAGAAGACCTTATTTCTTCTTTGTTAAATATTTGTTTTGTTAACATACAAAGTAGTTTTGAACAAAGAGTTTTGCGTCCTTGTAGATTCGTAGCCACAGAAAAGAAGAGGACAAACGTGCTAAGGGTTTTACCTAAAATATAAGTACAAAACAATAACGTAGAATAATGTTAAGAAAAGTTCTGAATATTCTCTACCATCCAAACAACTAAACTTGACATTAAATACAAAGAGAACCCCATTGGGTTGTACTAATGGGCCAAGTCCAATTAAATAATTAAATCTAAATAACAAACACTTAATAATTTATTTTAACTAGTTTCATAATCCTTCAGCCAGATGGACTTAGTTCTAATTTGTGTGGGCCTCCCATCATTGTGTCTATTTGTTGAATTTTTGTATGGTTTATTAATGGGGAAAGTTTGTGACGCAGTTGGAAGTCTTAGAGAATAGTAAGTGTTAAACCCAGAATAAAGAACAGGTTTGCAAGGTATAAAGCTTTTTTTCAAGCTGTGTAAACTGGAAGCTTTTACCTTAGAAAAAAATCAACGAAAGGAGTTTGCTTTCGTAGGCCTGATGGTTTTATTTTCCTTGTTTGATGCATTGTTTGATCTATTCTAAATGATGGATGTAGAATGAAAATTGGGTTATTTGAATGTTTTCCACCCCTAACATGTTCTCCTCTCTTGTCTATTTTTCGATTTTTGTTATTGTTGGTGTTCTTCACCTGATTTTCTAAATTTTCCATTAGTTCAATTAGATCATTTAGAATCACGGTAAAATCCGCGATAATTCCCTTAAAATCTGCTATGGTTGCCCGTTGATCCGCCATGGTTGTCAAGTTATGAAAAGAACAAGAAAAACATGCTCTGATACTAGCTGACGTGATCAGAAGCTCTAGGGAATAGCAAGCACTAAACCTATAATAAAGAATAGGTTTGCAACCGCAAAACCTAGAATAAAACACATGATTGTAAGCGCAAAACTTGTCAGATGAGCTCTGGACTCCACCAGAAATAAAAAAACTTTAAATTTTATTATATTTAAGATAAACCTTTCTCTGTTGATCCTTCCGAACTAGTTATTTTCACTACTTTCTAAACTTTTAACTCTGTTTGGTTTTCCAAAAAAAATTTGTTTAAGAAGAAACGATATTGGTGATGATTTGTCAGAGAGGAGCAACATTATATACAACAACCAAGCTTTTTCCTGCAACATATGTTGGTTTTGCATCCGGGATTGCATAGCACCAAGTTTTTTAGTGAAAGTTTATAAGGCTTCATCCACTAAAATGATATGATGCTACTATTACTATTCTAGGATTAGGAGTAGATAAATAAGAGAAAAGATAAAACATGTTAATCTGATTCTGCATGAAAATAATAATCAGAATAACATGTTAATCTGATCCTGCATGAAAATAATAATCAGAATAAGGTTCAATAAACAATTAATACTCCATGAAAAAGAAAGAATATTTCAAAATATAAATTTAAATAAAGTAGGTTGAGTCTAGGTTTGAAAAAAACTAGCACCATCTTTATATTAAAGTAATAAAACCTTTGAAATATTTAGTCATTTGATGGTTGAAATTGTAGAACTATGTTGGTTTGATTAAGGAGGTGTGAGAACTTAGTATAATTCGATAATTGGAGTAAGCTTTGGATGATAATATAATAATGATAATATTGGTGAATGATGAAATATTACTATTATTATTAATAAAAATATTATTAGATATATGATATAGTTATCACTAATAATATTATTATTAATATTATGGTGATTATTATTATTACTATTATTATTATTGTTCCCTTTATTATTAGTGGTTATTATTAGATGATAATAAAACTTTTTTTGTTGAGGGAAGTGATAGAAAGAGAATTGGGAGAAACTGTTGTCACGTGAAAAAAAGACAAGAGAAGAGAAGCTAGGGCAAAAAGGTGACAAGGAGAATTCCACTATTGTTGAAGGATCAAAGCTCCAAACCAAGGTAAGGGGGAGAATGAGTTATTCAAATGGTGATTATAACATGAGAGGATAGTGAGGGTTCCTTTCCCTCTTTAGGTTTTGTGTAAGATTTATGTATGATTCTTCTTTTGTTTGTTTGGTGTTGTTCTATGTGATTCTATATGGAATTATGGATTGAATGATGTAAATGTTGTGATTGTTGCTGTTAATTGTTGTTGTTGTAATGTTGTTCCAGAAAAATCCCATATCTAAAAAATATAAGTTTAGGAAGATGATGAACAATGAGTATTTGGATGTAGGAAATTGTCATAGGATGATAGATCGATGAAATTAGATGAAACCTATAAGTTATTATGTGTAAAAACACTATTTTAGGTCCAAATTGGGAGGCTGTAAGTGTGAAAAATGAATAAAAGTCATTCTGGTGCGATAGCAGGTTTTTGGAACATGATGGCTGGCCATACACATATGACACGCGTATGAGGGGACATCCCAAGGGATGTACGCATTTGGTACGTGCCCTGTCCCCAGGACCAGCACGGCCATCTGCTGGTACGCGTATGGGAAAGTGCCATACGCATATACATTGAGCCATACGCGTATAGGAGTTGTTTGAGTGAGTTGGGAGGAAAAATGTATCTGGTGGTACGCATATGAAACGTGGTTGTTTTGGATTTACGTGTTTGATACTCGTATGAGATGGGAGGGGAAGAATTTATACGTGTGTGGTACGCGTATGGGTCAGTTGAAGTGTAGAAATTCCCGTTTTTGCGATTTCTTTTCTGTTTTTGCATGTAGTGTAATTCTTTGGGTCTGTAATGACTAGTCTGAAGTAGGCAGATGTAGGGAGGCTAATGGAAATGGAGATTTGTAGCAAAACATTGGAATTTGTGTGAATTTCTTATGATGTGTGATGAAGAATGTTATTTTTGAGTAGAGTGATATTATGTTGTTGTTGTTATTGAATATAGATGATGAATTGCTAATATGCTTAGTGATTTTGATGCCATGATGTAATGTTATGTAGTGTTGTTGTTGTTGAATATATATGAGGACTTGTTATATTGTTTAGTTGTTGAGATGCTATGATACTATGTTGTGATGCTAGGATGTTATGTCATGTAATGTATGGATCGGTGATATGCATAGTAAATTGTGATACTATGACACTATCTTGAAATGTTGTTGTAATATTTGATGAAGTCTAATACGATGATGTTGCATTGTTGGATGTATGCAAATATGTTATTACTATTTGCTATTTCTATCGTTGCATGTATGGTGAGAGCTTATGCTTTGTTGGTGGCCTTTATTGGCAAGATGTTATGAGCTTATGCCTTGTAGTGATATATTTATGTGGTTGCATGTTGGTGTTGCATGCATACATTGGTGAGGGCTTATGCTCTATTGTTCGCATATAATGGCGTTATGTTGAGGGCTTTATGACCTGGTGTTGCCCAATTGGCACTATGTTGGGGGCTTATGCTCTGTTGGTACCACATTGTGTGATATATGTAAGTGTTTGGTTGTTGGCATGTTTTTTTGGTAAAACCAGTTATGTGAATGTCATGACTGATGTCATAACATTCTGGGATACAAGGTACATTCTGCAGAAAAAGAATGTCATACAGGAGCTGCTCAATATGAGTGTTTAGCTGATCATTATACAATGATCATATTTATTGCATTCTACCAAAATCAGTAAACAAGATTCTTGTTGTCATAACCAATGTTAAGACATCCTGTACTGATCTAACATTTGTGCATATTTGTTATTCCTGAGAATTTTCAGGAATCTGGTTTATACAGTCCATATCAGATTCTCACGTGGACATTAGGTTAACTCTGCTTAATCCTAATCTGGTTGTTAAATACCTATGACCAAGTCTTGAGGTTAACCCTAATTAACCCTAGCTATTTTCGTGGAAGCCCTAACTGAAGAATAGCTGCCTATATATTCCTCATGAAGACTGTTGGTGAAGCACACTTTTTGATAGAAGATCAATAAGGGACTGTATAGTTGTAACTACTGTGAGCCAATCAATTATCATTGTGATAAGTGATTTGGAGTAGGATTTGATTGTAAGGGTTGTATATCACTCAAATCTTTGAAGCACGAGTGTTTGTGTTACTTGATTAAAGCTTTGAAGCAAAGTCAATTTAGGGTTGTGTATCACTCAAAGCTTTGAAGCACGAGTGATTGTCACTTGATTAAAGCTGTGAAGCAAAATCAAGTGTGTGTACTGAAGAGTGTCTTCATAATTTCATTAATCAATTGTTTAGTATCACTGCTGTGATTGAGGGGGAGTGAGTAGGAACTCAGGTTTAAGTTTAACTTAGATTGAAGTTGCATTGGGTAGGTCTTAAGTGAAGGAGATAAACTGGTTGGTTTATTCCTGAATTAATATCTCTTATAGTGAATTTTCTCCCTGACTTGGTAGCCCCCAGAGTAGGTGTTGTTACACACTGAACTGGCTAAACAATTGACTGTGTTCTTTACTGCTTTTAAATTTACTGTCTTGAAGAGTGTCAGATACGGTGTCATAACATTCACTGTGACATTGAGTATCTGCTGCCAGAATTTCAATTGGCATCAGAGCAGGCACCCTGCCTGTCTTACTGGGTGAGATCTAGGGATATTATTTTCTGGCGCTATGGACAAAGAAGGAGGATTTGGAAACAGACCACCCATTCTGGATGGATCAAATTATGACTACTGGAAACCTCGTATGATTACCTTCTTAAAATCACTGGACAAAAAGGCTTGGAGAGCTGCTGACAAAGGATGGAACCATCCCACCATAACTGGGAAAGATGGGACAACCAGTCTGAAACCTGAGGAAGAATGGAGCAAAGAAGAAGATGAGTTAGCGCTGGGTAACTCCAAAGCATTAAATGCCTTGTTCAATGGAATTGATAGAAACATATTCAGACTAGTACATCAATGTGAACTGGCCAAGGATGTTTGGGACACTCTCAAAACTA